TCAAGCATGGATGTGCTTATTCTCCAGGTGGTCCTCCCTCGTGCTTGAAAACGGTATAAGTATCTATACGGAAAAGTCGCTATTGTACAATAAAGAAGTTGATCATCCAAAAAGACTTGTCACTCCTACTGCTCACAACTTCTTGAATGCCTCAAACAGTACAGTTGTCAACAATTATGCATGGAGGCATCAGCGCTGTTGTCCAGACAGATGTTGACACACATAATACCGCTCGCTGAACAGTAGAACATATTGGCCTGGTGTAATTGAAAGCGGATTGTTATGGAAGGTTCCAATTAGATTTTCAGAGACAATTTATTCTAACTGATTGCAATGTGTAGATGATACACACCTCAAAGCAAGATGTAATTACTATCGTCTAAAACGGTTTTCACCTTTGGAAATAGCCTGTCTGCGTCGACAGGTGTCAATCCTCTGCGACAGGTGTCAATCATCTGCGACAGGTGTCAATCCTCTGCGACAGGTGTAGGCCTTGCTCAACATGTCCGAACAGGAACCTGACGACCTTGGATGTGTCCACCAATGCATCTGAGCAACACATGGTGACACGTAGATCGATACTCATGATGCTGGTCACTAGATCGTCTGGTCTAGACTCGAATATTTACAGACCACCGTCATGTGCCTGGAACTTTGCAGAGTGTGGCTTTAAACAACAAACAAACCAAATCTCTAACTTAGCGCATAATTTCTGTGGCCCAAGGGGATAATTCGATTGGACGACTATCATAGCTTTGCATCTTTTAATCGGACACAAAGCTAAGGTATGATAGTAAAATATATATATGCACCAAAGATGGTTCAGATAAGCCTGGCACAATCAGATTGATTAGGTTCATCATCAGCTCAGTGCCCTTGTCTCCTTTAGAGTGAATTGGATTTATCCCAGGAAGCGCTGCCAAGTTGAACCCAGCATGAACCTTTCGGAGAATGTAAAATATTGTTGTTTCTACAAGGTGACGTGTACGCTGAGTGCGGCGTCAAAAAACAAACAAAATAACCGTAAAAGAGCAAATAATACAGACATATCCGTTACGTATTTGGTTATGCGGGTTTGCAAAAATAATCTCTGTAGTACGTATCTCTCTATGTACAAACCTGGGCCCTTATTCTCGAAACTTTCGTAGCCTTAAGAATTCTTAACTTTGATCGTAGCCAATGTGTTAAGAATGGGCTTAAGAAGTTCGTAAGGCTACGAACGTTTCGAGAATAGCTAGCCAGATTCTTTCCTATGGGCACATATACCGCACAGGACAGGCTCTAAGCACATTAAAACATTGATGAACAATTGTCAGTGACTATTAAAGAGATGGGTCTTAACGGCAGATTTACATGTAGTCAAGGAAGGGGAACATCTGAGGTGAAGGGGAAGACAGTTCCATAGCACAGCAGCAGAGTGCTTGAAGGATCTGGCACCAAATGCCTTCAACGTGTTGGGAGACACAGAAGGCGGGAATTCATCAGGTGAACGAAGGTTTCTGGAAGGTTGATACACTGCAATAAGATTTTGAAGATAATGAAGAGATTGATTGATTGATTTTAGTTCTACGCCGCACTCAGCAATATTCCAGCTATATGGCGGTGGTCTGTCAATATTCGAGTCTGGACCAGACAATCCAGTGATCAACATCATATGAGCATCGATCTATACACTTGGGATACGATGACATGTGTCAACCAAGCGAGCCTGACCACTCGATTCCGTTGGTTGCCTCTTACGACATGCATGGGATACTGAAGACCAATTCTAACCCGGATCTTCACATGGAGTAGAGATCTTGTGTTTTCATTGGCAGACAAGACAAAAGACTTTAAACTGTATTCTTTCCTGAACTTGTAGCCAATGATGTGATTTATGTGAGTGATACTTACATTGCTTTTAATAATGTATATCAATATCGTATCGTGGGATAACAAACTGAGCACACATTCCACCCATGGAACCTTTGTCTTGGGCGTGATGTGTAAAAGCTTTTACCACCAGAATAGTCCACTGTGACATAAACATTTAAGTATTTGAAAACATTCACATGTGCTTTTCATGCATATCAGACTGTCTGCATATCTATGGTAATGGAGGCAGTTTGTCTATATAGCTTCCTCGTGATTACATTATTTAACGTGAGGGGGGAAGATATTGAAATGTGTTTTGTGATTTGTGCTGTAATTTCACACAACATGTTAATCATGTGACTTTCAGCCGTTGGTCTACCAAAGAGACCCGAGAAGATCCAGGTTAGAATTGATCTTCACAAACCAATGCTTGTCGAAAGAGGTGACTGAGAGGAATGCGTGGTCAGGCTCGCTGACTTGGTTGATGCATGACATCGTATCCCATTGTGTGCATTGATGCTCATGATCTCCATCACTGGGTTGTCTCGTTCAGACACGATTATTTACCATCATATAGCTCGAAGAGTGTTGAGGTCGCCATAGACTAACAAATACTTCTGAGAGAGTGAATGAGTTTAGTTTTACGCCGCTCTTAGCAATATTCCAGCTAACTGGCGGCGGTCTGTAAATAATCGAGTCTGGACAAGACAATCAAGTGATCAACAGCATGAGCATCATGAGCAATTAGGATACGATGACGTGTGTCAACCAAGTCAGCGAGCCTGACCACCCGATACAGTTAGTCGCCTCTTACGACAAGCATGGGTTACTGAAGAGCAATTCTAACCCGGGTCTTCACGTGTAGGAAGGTTTTCTTCATGGCATGACAATGTGGCAAATTCATCTCCTCAGCTGTTACGCTTGATATTTTTCCAACCACCTGCTGATCTCAAGGCCTACGTCTAAGCACTAAGACAGCACGAATATGACCTTCTTAAAACATCGCATAAAACTCTCAGTTCTTTGGAAATGACGAAATGCCAATGTAAATTCCAAGTCATTCTCTCACTGACATTGGCACAGCAATAGGAATGTAATAGCTTTTGCAGTTGTTATGAAGAGTGCTTGAGTAGGACTGAACGCCGCCATATGCTCCGAGATATCACCGCAGATGACCCAAAAATTAGGCTTCACGCATTGCATGATGTAGGGAATTGAACCCGGGTCTCCGGCTACACGAAACAACGCCTTAACAAGTAGGCTGCGAGAACGCCTCTTAAATAGAATTGATAACCATTATATAGTACTGGTAGACAATCGGAACACTGATAGACAGGTGACCTTTACTGCAAACAGTGTTAGTCGGGTAACGCAGAACCGGTTGAGTAATTATATCGTAGTGATATTCTCAGTTCTAGTGATGACGTTACTGGATGTGGATCTAGACACTGCTGTGGTAAGCTTTTCCACATACAAGTTCACCTAGGAAACGTCTTAGTCGCATCCTGAGTCGCAAATGTAAACTGACGTTCAAAAGGAAGTATTGACTTGGATTTGACCAAAAACTCATAAACGTTACCTGAACATTACTAGGCTGAAAACAGCTGAGTTTAAGGTCACGGACACAACCTGGATGCACGTGTTGAATATATGACCATCAAATATGCTTTTGTTTTGTTTTGTGTTTGTAATTAAAGGTGAAATTGGATTTAACGGCGTGCTTGAGAATATTTCGCTGATATGACGACGTGCATGCCTGTGTATGTGTATGTGCGGCTGCTTGTACTAGCACAGACTTAAGCTGGTTTAATAGTGCTAGCACACTGAGATACCATGCCGCAGTGAAGCATGAATACCCCACTCAGACACATTATACTGACTCCGAGCCGACCAGTCCTTGTTGTACCCGTTAATGCCGAGCGCCAGGCAGGGACCAAAGCGTACCATATTTTAACGTCTTTTGGTATGACGCGGTCGGGGATTGAACCCGCGACCTTCCGCTCTCCGGGCGGACGCTCTAACCACTACACCACGGAGGCGGTCTGTTTTTGTAATTTAACATGGGTGAATACTCCATTTTGTCCGATCGTGCAGGAATCGGACCAAATACTCATTGATATTTATATGTTCGCTGATAATAGTAAGGCGTACACGTACTTATTTGTTTAGTTACCGCATGTTCGACAGAGGTTAACAAAACATCAAGTGATTGTGTTTTGGGATGGTAGATATATTGTATTAGTGAAAGGTATATATATTGCAATTAGTTAGGCGTGGCGTGCTAGATACACCGTATATAGTATTCATTACAAGATACTTTCTATCCCAAAACACATGTCGTGGATAAACCTATCTTTTTCTTTCAAACATTAGCTAAACATTGCAATTTGTCGTGCGCATTAAAATATACGACGTCATTCGAACTGTGACAACACTCAATACAATTCCAAATGAAACCATTTCCTTTGACTGTGGCCCAACTAAATCGGAAACTACGTTAAACGGCGTCTATAAGACGTCAAACCTGTTTGGCATTACGTCACATAGGACTGTCGTGACGTAGGATTGTGATTGCGTCGCATTTCATTTTCAATACGTCACGTTTCATTGTCACAACGTCACGTTTCATTGTCATTACGTCACGTTTCATTGTCATTACGTCGGGCTTGATTTTCAAAACGTTACTATGGTTAATTCTGACTGTGCCGCTGACTGACGAGGACGATGCCTTGTTTATTTGTAAACACTGAAAGTAGTACCAACTTGACCTTTCATTTTGGGGCATTATTATTTGTAATTGATCACAACGAAAATCGTTTTATCCGTTGGCCATAATCTGCCGAGAAACTACACACAATATGATGAAAATGTTTACATAATGACATTAACCCAAGTCGTCAAACACATGATTACGAATATCACAGTCTGCCGCCAACCTCAGGTCTCTAACATCAAATAACAACCATGGATATTAACAGTTTAATATTTTCACTCCTCGAAACCCATTGCCCTTTGGACAAGAGGCCATAAACGATTCATCAAAAACTTTCTTCATCAACCCTGGCAACGCCAGTAATACAAATCAGCAGATTGGCCTCATTGGCAGCCTGCCTCCCGTGTTTACTGAGCTGATCGGCGAACGCCGGTCCATAGCGTTCGTAGTTGTCAAGAGAGAGGTATGCTTCGGAGGTTCCCTCTGTCGCCGTTATCTCCGCCGTCAATATTCGTAGATGCGGTCGCCAGGCTCCGGCAAATGAGGAGCCGTGTTAGCTCTCAGTCGTTCGGAGACCGACGAAAGGCAAGCATCGATTCATCAAGCTTGTTCCTGGCGCACCTGAAGCTACGCTGGTGTGTCGGTAAAGCGGTACGCCTTCCGAGATTGGCCGTCATCCCTAGTTGCATAGGCTGACAGTTTCAAACTGCCGGTGAAGAGTACTACAGATTCCGTGGTTTCTGGATCTAGAAGGATATAACTTTGTTTCTCATGGAACTTATACTGGTGATCACGGCGTGCAATTAATGTGCTTCGGATTTTTAATTAGGACTGTTTAGTAAATTATTATTTCTTCGGATGAACGTGCGCGGTTAACATTGTTCGCCCCCTTACCCCGAAAAAGCATCACCTTTGACTTGGTTTTTATTGTATGCCAGTTTCTGTGTTCCTGAGAGGATCAACGATGTACTAATTGCAAACGTCTAGACCACTTGGGATTCCTGGAGGGTCGCTCATCACAGATGCGTCAAAACAGTCGCTACACATCCGCAGCATAAAAGACCTGATTGGTAAGATCGACACTTAAAACCTGGTCAGGAACCAATCCAATACTTCTCTTCCACTTTCCACTGGATAAACAGTTCAGAAGGACTTCCAAAGTTAAATTAGATGAAGAAACGAAAGTTTACTCCATCTATAAACTGGAAAACATAAAAATTGTTCATATATCTGAAACAACTGTTGCCCTGTGATGAAACAGACCTACTGAGAAGGACAGTGCCTGGATACACGATATATAGGAGACACGATGGTATTTCTGTGGTGTGAAATAACCAGCACGGCACTGTTCTTCTTCCAGATGTCCTCGATGGCTGGAGCAACCTCATGGTTCCATCTTAATGTACGGAATAGGAGGCTCTAAACCACGAACCGTGGACAGCTCCAGGAAATTCCACCTCTTTATTCTTAACAGGTGAGAAATCATTTTAGGTATATTTGAGTTAGTATGTTCTATGAACAGGACAAAAAGGGGTTAAGCAGATAAACCAAGGAGGACAATATACTTATATTTGTTTGTAATTTGCTCTCAAGGTAGGAAGCATCTATACTGTATTCGTCATACATTCTGGTCACTTGAAATGATATCGGTCATGTTGGGGGATGTCAAATAGGGTTTGACGTGAATTTGAAGATCATTGCAGTTATGTAACCTGCTCGTATGCCCATTTGTGTCTGGCTGCTCATATCAGTTAACATTCATGCGTTTTTCATAATGGTAGCACACTGATATTCTGTGTCTAACACGGATACCCAACTTAGACAGAACCATCAGACTCCAGGTAGACCATTCCTTGTTTGAATCGCTCCATGCTAAGCGCACCGCGCGTAACGTAGGATAAAAAGCATGACAGTCCGGTCATATTAGGTCGAAATGCCTCACCGGGATAATGAAACGTGAGATAAAGGTTTTTAACATATTCGCTACATTGCAAAAAGTGTGCATTTGTGCATATGTTTCATTACTATGGCCGTATTTATGCTTCCTTTTAATATTATCCTCTTAACAAATCATGTTTAGTATCGCAGAATTCTGATGTGAATTCAAGATAAAAACATTTCCATAAAACGAGAAACCTCCAAGAGAGTCCGTTGTATAATTCCGACTTCGCCATGAACATATGTTTATGAACCACCATCACGTCTTTAGTACAAGTAATGACTACATAACAAATGAATCACGTTTAACCATGCATTGTTCGGTTTACAATGAAGCTGTATTCTTCTGAATATTCATATAACTGAATTTTTTTACATTGTGATTTCATAATGTTGGAAATTTGTTCGCAAAATACGTTATCATAGTAGCGGGAAACCAACCAGAAAAAAAGACACTTACAATTGTGACAGCTGAAATAAAGCAACTGTTCACATAGTTCATACGATAGCTTGGTAACTTTATGCACTGAATTATAAAACAAGTCCAAAAAAACAAATCTTTTTATCTGGAAACCGCAATCTGTTAAATGTACCGGCACAAACGATCTGGTAAACATTTCTGATAGGAAGCGATTGAAGCTCCACGAGATTGATCTGTTGTTATTGGCGTTTCCTAATCAGAAAGATTGATCTTGCCAATAACTGTCTCACGCGAAGGTACTCAAATCAGCCACTCGATTCTGTCATAAAAAATCTGGAACACTTGTAGTTTAAAAAATACCTATTGAAAACGTAGTACTGATAATTAATAAGGTACCATCGTGTAGGATAAACGAATACTAGCACCCGCAGAATTTCGTAAACATGTTTTTTCAATATGTAGGATTAAATTCTAGTTAATACTGCTGGAGTGTAATAACTTTGCCTCGATGTAAAACGGATATGTTTGTTGTGGAGCTTTTTAAGTAGAAGTCCATTCAGGACGATACACTATTTATTATGCAGGTCAATGTAAGAGTGAGCGAGTGAGATGTGTTTTACACCGCTTTTAGCACTAATCCAGCAAAATGACAGGGGGGGGAGGGGGAGGAGGGGACACCAGAGATGGGCTTCACACATTGTACCCATGTGTGGACTCGAACCCGGGCCTTCGGCGTTACGTGCGGACGCTTAAACGGTAAGGCTAACCCACCGCCCCGGTCAATGTAAGGTATATATTTAGTTTTCGTCAAATGTTTAGGAGTTTATTTTGTACACGTAATGTTTTAGTAATATCATAAGTTCAAGTAAGGAGTAGAGCATTATTTGGTTCAAGTAGAGTACTAATTTTACGTCAGTGTAGTAGATATGTTTAGTTCACATTAATGTAAGAAGTGTATGCAATTGACGCCATATATAAAAACGGTACTTAGTTCCGCGTCAATGTAAAAGAGCGTGTTTTGTTCTGATCAATCTAATAAGTATTGTTCGTGTCAACGTAAACGAGCAGTTTTAGTTCACGTCGGTGGAAGAATATATATAGCTCATGTAAGAAGTATAATTAGTTCAACAGCAGGAATGTAGGTGAAGTACATTGATTTGTTAAACAGGTTTCACAATATAGGCCCAGTACTATAATTACTGTCGACGTGATGCTAATATTGTCACAAGGAACTGAAAATGTCAATACGGACAACGTTCACACTCAAATGTTTATGACTCCGGTCACGCGTTCTTCTAAATAAAAACCATCTACTTTCGCGGCAGTTACGCCTCGTATGAGACCACGAATAATTCATGACTTGAACTCGCAGTAAAATGGCATCGTCATGGAAATACAGTTTGCGCAGAGTAAACGCCTACACCTTGTTGACAGGCGAGTGCATTCTGATGACATTGTAAATACCAGGGTGATTCCTGTTAGATTCCTACCAGTGACACTGTTGTCCTTAAGGACTTACCGAGAGGAAGGTTTTATTGATATACTTTAGGAAGTGATTGATTTAAAGGAACCCGAACACGTAGACACACTGCAACTATGCAGACCCAACACATGGGTGAATTGAATGTATTTTGTTCACACATCAAGATCACATAAAACGATGACATATCTGTGAAGATCCGGGTTAGAATTGATCTTCAGTAACCAATGCTTGTCGTAAGAGGCGACTAACGGGATCGGATGTTTTAAGAAGGTCATATTCGTGCTGTCTTAGTGCTTAGACGTAAGGCTTGAGATCAGCAAGTGGTTGGAAATATCAAGCGTAACAGTTGAGGAGATGAATTTGCCACATTGTCATGCCATGAAGAAAACCTTCGTACACGTGAAGACCCGGGTTAGAATTGCTCTTCAGTAACCCATGCTTGTCGTAAGAGGCGACTAACTGTATCGGGTGGTCAGGCTCGCTGACTTGGTTGACACATGTCATCGTATCTCAATTCCGTAGATCAATGTTCATGATGTTGATCACTTGATTGTCTTGTCCAGACTCTGCTATTTACAGACCGCCGCCATATTGCTGGAATATAGCTCAGCGCGGCGTTTATCAACAATAAATAAACAAAGATAAAAACAACAAAATCATTTCCATAATGCTAAAACTAGAGTCCATTTGACAAGTTTTGAATTGAGGATTTTATTTAAAGACGCGTGCACATCGTAACTGTGCAAGCCAAATACTCACAGTTCATTTAACACAACAAGATCAAGAATCCACATGAAAGCAATCAAATCCTTTTCATACTCATTAGAAATTGCTGCTACATATGCTTCTCAAAGTTTGCTACGGATAATGTTTTGATAAAGTCATCCAAAAAGTAAAGATTGATATATTCTGGCACACAATGATTGGGTGACCCCTGACGCCTCAATTCCTTGATGAGTGAACGAGGACAGGCAGTCAAGAGAACAACCTGCACGAGATGATTGCACGAGCAGTGCAGCATTGCTATTGAAATTTGCAAAATATTGATGCCCCCGCGGTGTCAAAAACACGTTGTCCAATGCTCAACGAATAAGGCCGATACATCGGCCTGCCTGAAACTTGGTCATCACAACATCACGTTTTGCAAAAGCCATTGCAAAACTCAGTGCGGCTTGAAGTGAGTGAGTGAGTTTAGTTTTACGCCACACTCAGAAATATTCCAGCTAAATGGCGGCGGTTTGTCAATAATCGAATCTGGATCAGACAATCCAGTGTTCATCGATCTGCGCAATTGGGAACCGATGACATGCGTCAACCAATTCAGCGAGATCACGCCAACTGACGACAAAAGCATGTGACACGCCGCTTAGAGTGTTTTGTAGTAGTTTTGTAGTGTCTTCACTCAATATTGTCTTTGGATATTTCAACAAATACACACAATTTGAATCACTTTCAGAGTGATGATCCTCAGGACACTGTCTGTATTACATACGCATTTGTTAACGAATCAGACTTTTATAATTCTTATGCCGAATAGCGTATCCTGCCCCACAGATGGCACCATCACAAACACATGCAAAGTCAGGCGAAGTGATCATCCGAACAAAGGCGGAACGTTTTGGTACAAGTAAAAATATGGAACTGCATCGGACATCATCTTTGTCAAATTTGGAAACGCTATACGTATGTTTACGACAAAACGCTTTGCTGAGCACTTGAATATTGAATTCGTTTTAAACAACTTTTGACCAAAATAGACCAAATGTAAAACAGATCAGGCGGGTTCGTATAACTGTAGTTCAGGAAGGTAATCAGCGAGAACGCACCCTTCTTTTCTATACTTTATACCCAAATAGTCTGTCTGCAAATTTCTCATATACGTGTTTTGGATAAGGATGATCGGTATTTTACATATTGAGTTTTAAGAAACTTTCGATGAGATTTGTTTTCAGTTTTGACTTGCAGGGCCTAGATTTTCGAAGCTCTCTTAGCGCCAAGATAGTCGTAAGTTGATGTTAATGTATGGCACTTACGACTATCTTAGCGCTAAGAGAGCTTCGAAAATCTAGGCCCTGGTCTTTAATTAGATGATGTAACCAAGTGACATCTAAGTTGGCAAAATTGAACTGGGATGTTTTCTGACACAGACTGCAGTGTGTAGAGAATTCGCATGCTTAGTAATTCTATTTGGCACAAATATTCATTGTGAATACAGAATGTCCTCTTTGATAGCAAGAAGGAATGTGATAGATCTTTGATACAGGGATTTGGTCGTACATGTGCGGAGCCCTGCCATATAATCTCTCACGATGCGGACTAGGTTTTGAGCTGGGGAATCCAATATAAATGGAGAATGGAGATCTTTCCTTTAAGGTTTTGGTGTCAAGTCAAAAGTTGATAGTATTGATGCGTCAAATTAACTCACCATATCATGAACACGTATGTAGACAAGCGACATGTGTCACTCTCGTCGAATTGATGTTTTAAAACCAATGCATCAGTTTGTCTATGTCATTAAGAACGTGTTTTAATACACAACGCTGCGCAATTGCCTCGGCGTCCATCATAATTTATGATCTTCTTATATACACTTGAGACATGATTATTAATGATGCGTCCAATGTCTCGTCAT